TATAACGTATATGCTGAAACTAAATTAACACTGGAACAGATGTTGTCTTAATACTTCAACTTCTTCTTGAGCTTCTCGATTTTGTCATCTAAATTTTCAGTTTCACGTTCCATATCCTTGATTGTTCTTTTAAAACTGTTTGCTTTAGTTACATGAAGTATATCTCTCTCTTTTTCTGCCAAGATCATCAAACGATCTACACTTTCCTTCAAGTGAATGGAATCTTCTATTAGGCGTCGCCTTTTTGTCTGGGCAGCAACGATCTCATCATTGACATGTTTATTGGACTTCTCCTTTTCCTTGTTCTTTTCTATTTGCTGCTGTTTTGCAAGCTCCCTTCGATACACAGATGAGGCGTTCTTTGCTGCATTTCGAAGGTCTTGATCAATGGTTACATTTAGCACGCCTCCGCACTTTTGGATGTGACCGTATATTGTMCGTAGCGCAACTACAGATCGTTCTTTGAAATTGTAGCTCATTAGTTCCTTGTTGACGCTGAACCCTCGTTCAACACTCGCTTGACCGTGAGATAGTACAAGTAAGCATTGTACGAGTTGCCACAGTTTGCGTAAGTTACTTAAAGGTCTCATCACGCTTGCCAACAGAGAATCCAGACGCTTGCTTTTCACTTGATCGTAGTTTTTGAACTGTAGGAGGGTTTCTGGGTTTCCGTGAACTGTCTCAGTCACAAATAACTGGTAATCACGCTTCAAGCTATCTGCATCCATCTCATTTACTCTCTCTGCATTTATTAGACAATTTAGCAGACGTCCAAAAAGCTTAACTGATGATGACACAGAACCTGCCAAGACTTGCGGATCAASACATCTCATGCTACGCACGATAGGATACTTGATAGGACACTTTTCCAGCAACTTCTCTGTACTACGTGTAAGAAATGATTTACATTGGACTATGAATTCCAGCTCTTGTGCTTGAGTGATCTTTTTATTATGACGTAAAGCAGACAATTCCCTTTTGGTTGCAAGGCCAACATCTATCAACTTTGCTGCCTTGACTTGCTCTGCTGATAAAACGTTTATCTCTGCAAGCTTCAAGTATGAGGTTGCATTAGCCATCACATCCTCCTTTACGAATCTGTTCATAATATTACGCAGGAGTTTTTCTAAATCTTTTGCCAGAAAGGGAACTAGCGGCCTGTCTGCTTGATATAGTTGTAAGAATGGTTGGAAATCCTGTGCAATCGAAATCCAAAACAAGTGTTTGGCCTTTAACAAGTTGTCAGAAGATACAGCTGTTTTCACAATGGTATATCCCTCGTGATTTTTAGGCTCTGTCTTATTTAGCTGTCTTTATTTAGCTCGGCTTGGCTGCAAAATTCTCGTAGATCAGGTATCAATTYCAAAGATTTTATGGCCACGTTGAGATTCTCTAGCCACCTGCAGTAGATAAAAATAAYAAAGTTGTGAATTGAAAGTGGGCTTAGTTCCCTACCCTACCCTACAAAATGTCTAAATATAGTAACTGTTGTCTTYACCTAACGGGTTGGTACCTGGGATCATTATCGTAAAGTTTAACGTTTTACCTGTGATTGCAAAACTTCGATGGGAATATGGATGAGCMAGTATATTGAACGAAATCTTCACGACGTGCCGGGGAGTCCTTGAAAAGCTTGTACTCCTTCAGCAAGTACCGGTCCAACTTCCAACCAGTAGTATTGGCCCCAGTCTGGAAAGCCCTATGGACAATGTGTAGTCCACAAGTTCCGAGATCCAACAGATTTGGTAAATCCATTTCTTTGYGCTGCTCAACAAGTTTGTTATGGAACGACACGTTAACATTTGGCCCATCCATACCCACTTGCCAGGTTTTYGTGGCATCCAGGGCTTTGGTTGCTTCGGCGTAGTGAAGTAATATATCGTTAGCTGTGCCGTGGCCAATGAATAATGAGCTATAGTACCTAGACTCAACCTTACAGCATTCGTCAGACCAATATCGTATGTGGACATCAAGTTGTTTCTTTTGAAGCTCATCGTTAAGGGACTCGTCAAACAGGATGCAATGCGCTGGAGATGCTTTTACTTGATCTGTCAACATCTTAGAGAAATGTGGGCCAATTCCAAAAGTTGTTAAATATCTATATTTCGATTCACTCATGGAATACAAGGAAACGATCTCACTATCGCTAAACATTTTTTTGAATAACTCATTCATTCCAATGTTAGAAGCGGCAGAAAAGTGCGAGTTTACACAATTCAATGCCCACAATAACTCTGCATCAGAAACCTTTTTGGACAAGGTGGAAAGATGATGGATTGATGAACGTTTGTCCATATTCTGACTAGCACCTGCACTTGCAAGTGAAATCCCAACTGGAAGATCTTCCATTGAAGAAGTTGAAGGACCGCATGAAGTGGATGTAACGGGGGTATCACTTGTGTCACCTGAGATTGCTGTTTTTAGAAATGCAGAGATCGGATTTCCCGGTTTTTTCATGCGTTCTTGGTGAGTTTTGCCTACCATGTGTGACTTCAAGGCTRAAATTCCCATGCTAGCAATACTGAACTTTTTTTTACAAAGTTTACAATATGCATTATGCTTGTCCTCTGGTGATGCAGCTAACCAAAGTTTGAAGTCTTTAATTAAAAGCCAAGAGGAGTTAAAAACACATTTCCCTTTAGACATTTTGTTGTTCAGAGAACACAGTCGTAGGAGCTAGCTTGCTGTCAAAAAAAAATCAAGCAAAAAATATCAATTCAGTACCCAGGAATTTAAGTCAGTTTTATTTCAATATTTTAACAATACAATATGACTAGTATTCACTAGACGTTTGTTATCAGACCTCTAGGCATCTATGCAATCAAACAATACATGGCAACAAGTAACAAAAATTAAAGTGTTCAAAGACAGGAGTAATTTCTATTGAGWAATTTATACTTGCTCCTTTAAAATCATGAAGCTCTTTTGCACAAGTCTAACAAAATTTACACGTAAACAAATGTTTCAATGAATGCTAATCTAAATCTTCATCAGARCCTGATGGATATGACACAGTAGACAAGTTATCTTCAAACTCCTTCAATGTCAAAACAAAATCAGGGTAGCTCCCAACTATTAAGCTAGCATATTCCCATGGTCGATGGCCATATTCACAATGTGCTTCAAGCACCTGAAGCTTATCAAATGCACGAGCTTGGAGGACTCTGCTAAGAGAGTCTACAGATATTGTGAAATTGTATGCATATAATTCCTCTAAATTAGGAAGGCTCATAACAACTGATTCTATTATTCCTTCCTCTAACACACAGTAAGAAATGTCCAAAACCTTTAGACTAAGGTTATGATTTTTTAAGGACAATACATCAATAGAGGATATTGCTAAACATTTCCTCAGAATAAGGGTCTTCAACAGTGGTGACCATTTCAAAAMGTCTAGGCTTGATATATTTGTGTAGGACATATCTAATTCCTGTAGCTTTGGAGATCGGAAATATTCATCAAGAATAAAGCGGAGTCCATTGATTGGCATGCTTAACTCTAGACTGTTACCAAACCTGAACGTTTTAAACTGTCTTGAATGCTTTACAATATCAAAGAACTTGTGCTCATCATATAGCATCGTACCTTTTCCCAACTCCACATCTGTCCAACGTAAATATGAGTTGCAGATAAGATGCCAGCTTTTACACACTTTACTTAAGTTGTTCAGGCAACATGTCAGCGGAAGGTAGGATAATATCTTGCAAATTATTTCTTTAGGTAGGTCTAATATATTCATCTAGTTGGTTCTGCTCCCTAGTAAAAAACCCAATGTAGAATAATTACGATAACTTTATAGCATATAGTATATCAGTATTAATTATTTGAAATTAGAACAGAATAACAAAAAAAACGTTAAAATTAAAATCGAAAAGAAATCAGTACGAGATTGCAAAGCTACCACACGCCATGACAAACACGGTAGCTCTATCATCAAGCAAAAAATAGTTTCACAAGTGGTTTTTGAGTGTCTAATTTTCTTGAAGAAAATACACACGACAAAAATATTCCCTGATAATTGAATTTTGATGGTCCTATTTGCCTTAATAGTTATAATTCCAGCGTTGTGAAAAATTAACGAAGTTTCTGATTTTGACTRCTATGCCCGGAATTYCCTCAAAATCTAAGTTGACTCATAACATACTGACAAAGAGACTTTCTTTCTTTTAGCTTACAATATTCACGGAAATCTTCATGAATAAACTAGATAATTTAACAAATCTCACATCGATAGCTTCTAACATAATAAAAAGGTACTTACTGCGACTTTGTCTTGTAGCTACACTTTGGTCTCTGCTAGTTTTTACGAGAGAACGGCTTTTACACCACGTGGAAAGTTGCGCATGCGCGTATGAATTGAAAGCGTGGGGAACCCTGTGTCTTTTGCAAAACAGGGTGACCATGACCACAAAAGTTTCGAAACGAACCATGTAGCGCGTCTTCCGATATTTTTACTTTTATTTTTTGCATTTTGTAATACACCATATCCATCTCAAACAGGCCAAATAACTTTGGGGTGGATCGTGTTAAAAAAAGTTTCAAAAGTCCGGTATTTTCAAGGAGTGCTGTAMATTTTCAAGGATTTTCCCTCGTTTTCAAGGAGTTTCAAGTACCCTTAAAATTGCTTTTCAAATTCAAGTACTTTTCAAGGATTTCAAGGACCTGCACGAACCNTTATTTGATAACTAAGCCTACAAATCAGTCATGTCAACTACCACAGTCAAAAGTCAGTGAGCTCAGCAACATCATTTTTATATATTACTAACAAGCGATGTCTTCGTCTAAACTATCAAAAATCACGCGACAACACGAACGAACCTGGAGTCAGCTACACAAAGGCCTGGTTGACTTGGATTTTAACTTCATTGGTGTTCTCAGACAATGTATGTACTTAAGGTATTAGATCAGGCTGGAATTCATCATTTTTTTCAACTTTTTTTCGTGATAGAATATCATTTTTAGATGCCTAGTTTACATAAATTTGATTTTTTTCAAAAAATACAAAATCCTTCGCCCTGTTTTGGAGGCTTTAAAATCGTAGATTTTACCGGAACCGGAAGCGATTCTGCAAACCGCGTTACTAAGGAAGAGTGAAATTCGAAGCTGCATGAAGTCAGAATACTGCACGTGTTTTCACACCTTGCCTTCCTTCTGTGCTTGGACGACATCATGGCTGTCAGGGAGAATGCTTTTCTTGTCTTTGACGCAGCATTTTTAAAAGAAGGGTGCGTATTATCACATGCTACAGCAATTATTTTTTTGGTGTTGTGCAGTCCTAATTTAAATGTTGATCTAATTCGAAATCAACACAGTTTGACAGCACCAAGTGGTCTAAAGAAGCTACTACAAAAGTATTCGAAGAAAGACGGCGAAAAGCCGGATGACATGCGACATCGCATATATCGTCGTCTTTGGTGTATAATGTGGGTAAGTACAATGTATTCCTTGACTTATTCCTTGACTTATTGATGTAATACCAATTTCGGTATTTGGAAAAACCATCAAATTGGCTTCATGTGCTGATTTCGACAACTGTATCGTTATGTTTTAGTATGGAAGCCAAATTGGACAGTCAGCTATGTCGGACAATCAAAAGCCGACCTACGTCTATCCTCAGGAGCTAAAAGACATAGTAAGAGCGATAATTCCAGGCCAATTGTCGGACTTCCCAAATCCAACTGGACCCCACGTAAGTAGTTGACATATTTGTAGAGTAACAGTAGTGTCCGCGCTCGACTGGGTGTTTTGACTGTTTTGCTCGTAGATCATTGTAATTTATCCAGATTTCTCTTATATTAGCGACGAATTTTCGCCATAAATCTTCGGTGAACAGTACAATATACGCAGATACATTTTAAGAGACAAAGCGGAGGTCATTTCGCGACTTAGTTTATAAAGATACCACATATTTATGAGCTGAAGGTGATGCAAAGAAAGCGATCGTGCCATCATGTATAGAAATTATCATTCCTCCACTCAATACTGTTTTACGATCTCTTTTACGCCTTTGCTTCATAGACATGTCATATTTTATTCAATAACAGTCCGTGCAAATTCAAGAGATGTGAGTATAGGAGACAATGAAAATAGATTGAAATCTCACGAGTTTTATCCATATCTCACATATTGAAGTCTAACACAGCGTAAAAAAGATCGCGAAACTCTATTTGACTATAAGATAAATTGAATATAATTATTGGATTAGTAGTCTGCTTATGAGTCACGTTTCTACAAATTTGCAACCTGTTGTGCTCTTGTCACAATAACTTCACTTGAGCCACTCATTTCCTTACTGCTATTTAACTTAGTGTTTCTTTTCTTATAGGTTTACGAAATAACACTACAAGATTTGGTGAATGCCAAATGGCCAAGATAAAGGAAAAAATGTGTTTTTTATTCCATAGCGTATTTAGCAACTATTTCCCAATTTTATTACAGGAGTGTCACTGTCAGTGAAAAACACTCAGTAGTTGCGATTTTTTTATTATTTTTATAAAACAATATAAATATGATGCTTCTAAAATATCTTTTTTTGAACTCTATAGAATTTTGCCACTTTAGTTGAAGTAGCAAATGCATTGTATACAGTACAAACATTAAATGTGTGCAACACCTGTGTACTATTTACTGCTAAAAAGGGTGAACACATAGTTATCATATCCGTATAGCAGTATTTAGTCGTATTGTATGTTGCACACTTCTAGTGTTTGTACTCTAGTATAGAACAAATGCCGTAAGCTATATTGATCAATACAAAAGCATAGTCCTTGATAGTGAGAGATTTCTCTACCAATGTCTGTCCTGAGACAACATTACACATTGTATGAGTTATTATTCAGTACTTCTATTTACACCAAGAATATAAAAGAAAATAGGGCTAGTGGAGCTTCTTGAATTGCAGTCCAAGTTGCTTTGAAACATCATATCAAAAACCAGTACATGACAAAGAGGTGCAATTGATTATAACATTATGATTCCATCAAAACAATCTTGGACTCAATGCAAGGTGGCATTGCAGCACTTGCCCGTGTTGTCATAAATAAGCATTTCAATGTATTTAGTATAGGCTTTAATACATTGTTAGTACAATTCTGGTTTGCCTTTTGTAAGAACTACTCGCAATAATTGTTATTGACCAATAAAATAATACATGTATAATTGAAACAGTCCTGAGCAATCCATTTCTATTTACAACCAACCAAATTTCAAAAAGGATGTCACATTGTAATTTCATAACGGAAATAAACTACAGCTACATAATCAAGTCTGAGTAGTTTTATGCACTATAAGTTATACTAAAATGAGAAGAAATGAAGTTAGAGCTTTCCAGATTCTCTTTTCTAGTTTTGGATATACACTCTTGTTCATTATATTGCATACTATATTGCATACTATACTGTGCTGTATATGAGCAGTGCACATGTTTTTTGTTTTATTTTGCTTTATTTTTTCTGTACAGAAATATTTGGGCACAATATGATTAATGTTATGAATAAACACTAGTTTTACCTGATATGCTGGTATAAACATGATCACACAGTCCATGCCATATATGTCAGTGAAATAATGGGTTGCCTCTTTGTTTGATTTAATTTTAGCTTATACAAAAATTCTATATAAATGAAATGTGCTCAGCAATTTGCAGTTTTTCTATCACATACCAATGTACAACAAGTGTCGTTTTTTTTGTATAGTACATTACAACTGACAATTATGGCATTGACTAGTAATTCATGTTGCTTTGCAGCTGTAACAGTGAAAACCCGTGTATATCATTACTTCAAACTTTTGGTGTTAGAATCTGGAATTTTGCTGTGATTTGAATTATATTGTGCCAAAAAGAGCTAAATCTGGCATTTTTTTAGGTGCCAATACAATGGATTTCACTGTGGAATGACTTATCTTATCTTTTGCTGTTAAAAGGGCAGCTGCGATTTGATGTTCTCTTGTGTGTTTTAGAGCCACATCGGCAGGTCTTTCCACTTATAACTGTCACAACTGCTTCAGTTTCCCCGTCTTCCCCTTCTTCTTCTGGATCTTCACCATCACCATCGTCAACATCATCATCATCCCCTCCACCATATGAATGAATTACACTCTGCCGCTTCAGCCACTTTCGTCTTTCTTTCTGGTCCTCAGCTCTTGCCACTTTCATCTTTACTCTATTTGCTTTTGCATGATCTGTTTTTTGCTTCATCAGGACTTTGGCTCTTTGTTGATTTGCTTTTTGCAGAGCGTCTACAACTGCAGGTATGATGGGAAGACCCAGTCTCTCGTACAAGTCAATCACCCAGTGATAGGAAGTGCCTCTGACTTTATGGCACCAGGACATATTTCCTTGACAAAGGCCTGCATTTGTTGAGCACATATAATGCAATCTGAAGAAAAAACAAGATTTTATTACAATACAAATTTATTAATTTTGCAATAGATGTTACAGAGAAGAGTAAGTAAAGACAGTAAAGGTTTGAAGATGAATATATTGTGGACTCAAAGCAAGGAAATGCAAGAAACCAGAATTGTTGAGAGTGGAAGGGAAAATGTCTGCTTTTTTCCAAACTTCTCAAATCTTAAATTCATGTTGGTAGTGTAAGATGATATGAGACATGTTATAAAACCAACAGTGTAGAAAAATAATTTAACTAATTTAACAATAGGAGATATATTGAATAGCTCTAGTGTTTTGCATTGAAATTCTGCTTTCATTAGTTATAAGATCTACAAAATGGTTTTTGTAAACATTCTCTAGGATCACTAAATACATACCTATTTAGGCTTTGTGACTTAGCACGGAAATGTGGCAGAACAGTGAAATGTGCTTCACATTGGTTTGAATGGCCCCTGCCCATTTCTGGGTGAATAACAGACTTTGCATCATCTGCTCTTCTACTACACTCAATCTGGTATGCCACCCAATGGAAGTCACAGGTTAGTGGACACTTGGTGGAGTAGGGTTTTCCTTCACACTTAGGCTCAGCATCAACATCACATTTCTTGCACGTGCAAGAACGTTTCGGATGGAAGTCACATGAGCCACCCTTCCATTTGTGGATATCACGGCAGTGATACTTAGAGAGATAAGTCATTCTTCTTGCATAATCAGCGGCATCAACACTTTGATGCAAGATACAAAAATGGTTGATTCTTGCATTTCGTATAAAATCTTCTGAGAAACAGCCACACTTTTTTTTATGTCGTTTGCAATGGCACCTTGTACTAACAAGTGGAAACTTATCCTTGTACTTCTTTTGATAGTCAATGTTGAACTCTTTCTTTTTTGCCATGTCTTTGAGGTTGTTAGCATGAGCACGTCCAACATGCCCACCACATTTGAAAACCTTTGCATTTGGGTGGTGAGCAGCGACTGAAATTGCAGAACTGGAATCAGCATCTTGCCACACTGTGTTTACATCACATTCTTCTTCCTTGGCTTGTGCATAGCACTCATCTGCAAGGACACCCTCCATAGATTTGGAAGTTCCCTCATAAAGGTCATCTTCAACAACATCATCTTCTCCTCTCATGCACTTGTGCCCATACCAGAGCAAACCTCCCGTCATGTAATTCTTAATAATGAATGTCCCATTCTTGCTGAAGTAGCCTCTGGTGTGCCAAACACCATCTGAGGTTACAACAGCCTTCTTCCAACTTCCCAACTCATCTAATTCCTTTGCTTTCATTTGATCCTTTGCTTCATTGCATTGTTCATCCAGTATTTCAGTGATCACGGGATAAACCTTCTTAATGATGTCATAATAGGGGTTTTTGGATACACAACTTATGCCAAGGAAATGTCTTAGTGTTCTTTCAAATTTGGCAAAGCCATGCCCAGAGATAAAGAATGCCACGCCAAGAGCAAGTCCAACAACTGTTCTTTTTGAACCTTCAACATATGCAGACCCTTGAAAGTTAACTTCTCTTAGCTTGCAGCTGTTACATACAAAGAGGGCTTTCAAGGAACCTCCATGACCAGTTGGCTCAACTTTAGCAAGAACAAGAATGCCTATTAAAAAAATTATATATTTAAAAAGTTATATTTTTTGCTGTTCAAATTCTAATGAAAATTGCTTTTTACTGAATAATATGAAATGCAGAGGTGTTGGCAAACATTCCTTCACTGGCTTCTCACTAATTTCGATAAATTCTCTGACTAATATAAAACTGCAATACATTCAGGGTTCGTGAAATCACACAAACACATTCTTACCGTTGCAATCAATAGTACAACATCGAGAAGTTTGATTTATCTGATCCACCAAATCCATGAGTTGTGTTGTCTCACATACAAATAGCCGTCTTTCCATCTTCACACACAAGTTATCATCACCTTGTTGTTCATGGTCACTCTCTTCTGATGACCCACGAAATTCGTCTGTGTCAGGCTCTGAGCTTGAACTGCTACTAGCAAATATTTCTTCATTAATACAGTCCGACATGTCTCTTTCTTTGAGGGTTTTCTTAACTTCCGAATGTTGTTTGTATACGGTTTTCCCTGGACTTGTGAACTTCATCCTGACTTCACTCCCTCGTTTGTATGTAGAATGGCGCCACTTGGACGGTAAAGTCATCTCTAGTCTACTTCCAACACCTTTTCCTCTTTTCTGAGCAGCTTTCTTGCCTCTCGCTATAGCTAAAAGCTTTAATTCTTGTTTAGTTTTCTTTTTCTTCTTCGAAGGCGCCATCTTGACAAGACTGTCTAGTTGGCGCACGCGCTTGAAGTAGACCGGAAATGTCGTCATCCATAGCAACAACAGAAATATTACCATTGAGGGGGAGTGGGGTAGTGACAAAAACTAAGAAATAGCCGAAGTTCGTATGTACAGCGGATTCTTTGAAAACAAAATGGCGCTATGATCGTCCTGGTGGATTTTCTAGGCAGTTGAGTACTTTTCATAGATTTATTGAATACATATTACACTTTTTGGCTTTTGAAATAAAGTTATGATTACAAAACCCTAAAATTCAGAGTCGGAATATGAAATTTTTACAAGATTTTTGGCACAACGTTCGAGTGCATCGTGGAGAACAATCGTAGTTTTGCGACAATTCGTATTCTGTCTACTTCCTGAGTTATGTCACTGTAAACTCACTTTCAGGTGCACAAAGATAAACGATGTAATTTTTTGAAGAGGATTTGTCGTATCGGCGGTCGCAAAACTATGATTTTCCGTGCTTACATCAAAAACATATATACGATTTCTTGATTAGAAATAGTGAATTCTGACGTAGAAAAACACGAAAAACTATAATTCACCTGTTGCTTGAAAATAATTCAATTAACACCTTCTGAAATCTGAGACCCCCAAAAAGTTGCAAAAAACAACTTGAGTGTACCTAAGTTAGTATTCTATACCATCAAAACAAGTACAGAGCATGTACTTTTTTATTGTTATTTTTCCAAAATGACACAAAATTAGCCTGATCTAATACCTTAAGTAACACTGCCACATCGACAAGCACAAGTATTGGCTACTTAATTCCTTGCATACTTGCAAGCACGGCATTAATAGCAAGTAAGAAAGGAAGCTTAATCACCTACAATCTATATATTCAATCTATATATTCTCTTCGTTGGACCTCCGTCAACTGGCAAGTCTCAGGCACTCAAACAAGCTGCTACGCTACCGATGTCAACCATGATCGAGAACTACGACATCAGCAACTTCTTGCTTGACAAATGTACATCATCCGTTACATNTTAAAAAAAGTTTCAAAAGTCCGGTATTTTCAAGGAGTGCTGTAAATTTTCAAGGATTTTCCCTCGTTTTCAAGGAGTTTCAAGTACCCTTAAAATTGCTTTTCAAATTCAAGTACTTTTCAAGGATTTCAAGGACCTGCACGAACCCTGATTGTGGTGCTCACTGCGTGACGATCATTTATTATTATCAATTATATTTTATTATTATTATTATTGTTATTATTATTATTGTTATTGTTATTATTATTGTTATTATTATTGTTGTTGTAAATTAAAGAAAACCAATAAATCGTCTGTATTGAACAATATATAGTCCTTGAACTTTTTCATATTTTCCTTGAAAACTCCTTGGTTTAAAAAAAAAGCCTCTACGAACCCTGTAATTATAACCTATACAAATAACAGGTAATTATAAAGTGAAACTATACATTTGATTCATGACATGTCATTTGAGAGAGTGTGAAAAGTGTGCTTCTACCTCATTTAAGGATGATTGCTGTACATTTATTAGGAAAATAGCACTTGAGGATGTTTGTGAGCACAAGAGCAARATCACTTGTTGTCCTTGTAATTTTTTTAAAACATATTCTCATGTTGTTCCATAATGTCCATATTGATAACAGCGTGAATTTTTCAGTCAATTTTTCTTTTTTTAAATAGAACAAATTTACGCAAACCAACACAAGTCATAAGTTTAATATAGCAWGTAGATCCCCATATTTTTGTAGCATGCAAAAATTGCAAAACAGKGATAATTATTGTCCTAAATGCAATGATACGCCTTCTGTCTTTCAAAGGATTGTTCTTAGTCTGAAAATTAAAGATTTTGACMATGTAGTTAAGCTGTTTCAGGGTTATATGGAGTGCCACATTCATATTGAAGATATGAAAGCTAGTTCTCTTGATCCAGAGTTTTTTTCTTAAATTTATTTACTACACAAGTTATTATGAACCGTCTACATTTGACTACTACATTTGAAAAAAGTTTTATGAAAAAAGATGTGTCAGTTTTGCTAATGAATTCAAGTTTTTTTAGACATTACCAAAATAAGGGTTTAAATATGGCTTTAATTCGCATCTTTCTTTAATGATGCGGATAAATTAATATAGTACGTCCCAATGGTGTTAGTCTACCACCATTTGCTTCCCTCTTTTAACACTTGCTGTTTTAAGATAGAATTGATACAATAATCATAATTTTCATGTAAACTGGAGCAGACTTTAGAATTTGTGTTACATTGTAAGCATGCAGTTACAAATTAATACTTACAAATTTGCAGTGATTCTTCTCGTCGAATTGTTTACTTGCTTTTTCATAGTCAAATGTGCTTCACCAAAGGACAGTTCTTTTTGACTTTCTTTCAGACCATTTCGATTGTTTGTTTGATTGTTTTTTTTCATCAATATTGAATGATTAAAAAATAAGGAAAGTTAAATCAATTAAATGAACGAATGAATAAAAGAATGAATGGAACAACGAATGAATGATCAAAAGAAAAGATAGATCGAAAGAAGGGATAAATGAATGAATGAAATGATATAATGTTTAAGATGCGAAAATATCAAAATGATTGATATCATTTGGTTTATTGTATCGATGTATTTACCTGACCCTACAGGAACAATAACTCCACACAACTGATGTAGACCCTTTGACATTGACAAGTTGCACACGCTCTTTACTTCYGTTTTTGTTCCCATATGCTTGGGATATTAGAAAGTTGTCCTTGCTCGCCAAAATCGCTAAAGACTGTGTCGATGTTTTGGGATACCAAAATACAATAAACTATACTTCCACTGACCGGCTACGCGGCTACGAACTGATAGGCACAGGGATTCCGAAATACAATAAAATATACTTAGTACACCCACCCTCCATTTAAAAAAAAACTTTCAATGTATAAAGAATGAACTCTTATTTAAACAAGTAATTATCACAATCACGTATGAGCGTAACTTCAGTAACTCTAGTTTCTTTAACAAATATTTTACAAAACAAAACTAATACAATACAGATCTTCAAATTTCTTATGAACTGTTTACATCACTGTTTACACTTTTTTAATATCTTTCAAATTTCAAATTTGTCCTCATTCTTGTGTAGGTAGCGCCACATAAACTCTGCTAAATAACCAGAGTAAAAATGTTTACTCACACCAAACCTAGGCAAACTTGCCTTCATGTGCCGCCAATGGCCTTCAATTTTGTTTGTGTACTGACCTTCTGAATTTTCAAATTCCTTTGAATGTTTCACTGTTGCGTGTTCAAAACCGTTTCTTGTCAGGTTTACGTAGGATTTCCAACAGTCTGATATTATCAATGTTCCAGGTTCAATCCATTGCTTGATGATTGGCAAGAGTTCCGCTTCTTTTCTAGTCTCTACTGCTACAATAAAGCATCTTCTAGAATCTTGCTCAATCCCACCAAATGCCCATTGACCTTCAACACGATGACCTCTATGATATTTCCGTTTACCGATTTTACTTTCATCTATTTGCACAACTTTTCCAGGTCCCCCTAGCTTACATCTTTCCTTCATAATTACAATCTCACATACTTTTCTACAAACGTTTTCCCAGTCAACTACTGTATTTGTTGCTAAGCATAATCGTTCCTTTATCTGCCATTGTTCCGTGCCATTACACCACCGATACATAAACTTAACAACTTCATGCAAAGACATGTTACTTCCCTCGAACCAACTTCCTTTTCTGATGCTAACTTCGCAACAGTGTTCTTTTCCTTTTGTCCTTTGACGACAAAWCCACTTGAAACCATCTTTTCTGTCACGGCATTTCACCCATTTCATCTCCTTTCCACATTGGGGACAGCTTTTCGAACTAGCATTTACTCCTTCACCTTTAAGCCATTGTAATAATGTCTCTTGGTTACATAAAACATTATCTTTCAGGTAGTCGTACGTTGTAACCGATCTCTTTTGGCTTCTTTCTCCAATAGTAAAGCAAGTTGCCTRGCTCTTATGTGAAATCTCTATGAGCATGCAATTGAATACATATTTGTCAAAATCCAATAAACACAACTTCACTTCTTCAAAGCAAAATATTAACAAAGGGGCATTGTTCAATTATAACTTCTATTGAAATTTGAAATTTAGCGCCCTCCTTTACACCACACCGCCGCATTGTTCTCTCTAGTCAAGACGCCTTTCTTGGAGTTGAGCGGTATCATCTCCTTTTGTTGTATTCACTCTCAATTAAAGTAACCCTTGATAGGATTATCTCATTACCAACTTAATTCAAAAAAGGATTAACCTTCTCAAACAAAACAAAACAAAACAAGCTATTTAATATAGTATCACACCTCTAATCAAATCGCCACAGCACAGCCTCTTTAATGATTTGTTTATTTGATAACTAAGCCTACAAATCAGTCATGTCAACTACCACAGTCAAAAGTCAGTGAGCTCAGCAACATCATTTTTATATATTACTAACAAGCGATGTCTTCGTCTAAACTATCAAAAATCACGCGACAACACGAACGAACCTGGAGTCAGCTACACAAAGGCCTGGTTGACTTGGATTTTAACTTCATTGGTGTTCTCAGACAATGTATGTACTTAAGTAACACTGCCACATCGACAAGCACAAGTATTGGCTACTTAATTCCTTGCATACTTGCAAGCACGGCATTAATAGCAAGCAAGAAAGGAAGCTTAATCACCTACAATCTATATATTCAATCTATATATTCTCTTCGTTGGACCTCCGTCAACTGGCAAGTCTCAGGCACTCAAACAAGCTGCTACGCTACCGATGTCAACCATGATCGAGAACTACGACATCAGCAACTTCTTGCTTGACAAATGTACATCATCCGTTACATCATCTCGACAGAGATATTTGACCTACTAAACAAACTTTTAAAGTTCGATGACGAGAACGCCACTGGTGATGCGCAACTTTTGTGCGAATGTTCTCGGGAGAACGTGCTACCTGTCGGTTCGCTACAGAACGAGTACGCGAAATCGATGCAAATGTACCATTCACCATGGTTGGAGCCACGCAAGACTTGACCAGGGACATGGTCTACTTGACAGATTCATCATGATGTTCGCTCCCTGTTACCGCCCCAACGGTCGAAGAAACAGACAGCAATTCAATGGCTTAACGACCAACACATTGAATCATTGACGACATATTGCTTGAAATGGACGACGATTTGAGAAAGGTAAACTACAAATTTACCGACGACGCCCAAGCACTCCTACAAGAGTTAAGCACTCAAGAAATCGAAGATATCAACCAGGCACTCAAAGATGGCGATCCTGTTCTAAAGTGCAATATTGTGACTTATTTGCTAGATGGCCAAAAGCCTCCAACAACTCCTCAGAGAATTACCAAGTCATCGGAAGAGGCTGCAATTACTATTCTAAACTACTGCAATACACAAAAACAAATTGCCACAGAGGTAWYTATTCGCATGCATTTAAATATTAACATTTTCAATCTTTCTTCACAGCATTTAAACATGGAGTTTAATTTCTTATTTCAGTTCATTAACAACATCATTAGCGACTGCGTGGAAAACGAGGCAAGACAGCCATCAAAGGATGTCTTGTAGTTTGCCGATCCTTCAAGCAGTACGGCCCACGTGCTCTTCATTCAATTTCTGAGGACGAATTCAAGAACATTGCATCACAAATCAATGCATATGGAAAGATTGTGACCGTTCGAGTTCCAAGATCAACAAGGCCAACACTTGTATTTGCAAGAAAGAACCCCAAGCCATCGACTGGGATCTTGAAAACCAAATATGCGACTGTGAAACTTACCTTGCAAAATTCACCTTGCCCATACATAATTCGGTCTCACAAGGTATCAACACCCAACTGACCGCAGCAGGACATATGAATGCAGAACTTTGAGAACACTAGTGAATTGCACCTTAACGATTTTATAAAGTTAACAGACATAACAGTCTCGTGTCTTGTAATCTTCAAACTATTTTTGTTATTCTACAGCACAGAAATGTATGTTTAACGCAATACTATAGATCATTCATCATTAATTCAACTTTACAAATAAAGCATCTTTATCTTTTAACTTATTGCACTTCTTATTGACACCGTTGCCTATTTATGACTCCGTAGCTGCGTAGCCACTTCATAATATATTGCCTCGTTCTTAAAACACAGGGAGACCGGTATTCAATTTCTCACTGCGTAGCCGCGTAGCCACTTCATAATATATTGCCTCGTTCTTAAAACACAGGGAGACCGGTAGTTCACTTCTGACTCCGTAGCCGCGTAGCCACTTCATAAACGGGAGAGGCTACGTAGCACGCAGTTGATGTAATGACGTAATACGCTAAGTTTCSGATGGCTATYCGAAGCTTATTCCGAAGAATGGACAGCTCGGAAATAACTCGGAAAAATGCCCAATTCCCGCSAAAGTTCAAATGGCCTCCGGCAATAATAAAAAGAACATTGAAGAGCGATTAACAAACGTTTTCTCAAAGCATTTAAAAGAGTTTTGCCTCGAAAATATTAACTATGCAACAGGATATATAGACGGTGAAGAAAATCTGAACTCGTTTTTAAAAGAATTTGAAGCTGTAGCCCACATTTCGTACAGCACAGTAAAATCCGAGAAAAGGACAGAAAAGTCAAAAAGATATACATCTCAAGGTAATTTCCATKTTGTTTATTTGATCTACCGTTTCTGCTAAAGCATGTCGCACTTTTGACTGGACGGTAAGAAAATTTAAAACTCTGCATGCACTTACAGGGAAGTTAAGATGGGAAAGCAAAGCAGGAGTAAAAATTGCTTACAGTGGAATGCCATTTATTCTTGAGGGACAGAGGGTTTTAGAATGTGTTTATGGSAAAAGAAAGCAAAAGAAGAGGACACATGATGAGGTGACTGTTTTATATTTTCATTTTGCAATTTATTTTATTGCTAAACAATGGAGTATTGATTTTCTCTCTATTTTGTCACCGCAAAGTGCAACTAATTAAGACTATGATTATAAATTGAAGATAAAYGACCATCCAGCAGCAAGAAGATTCCACCTTCAAGATACAAAAAAACATGGTTGTCAAGCAAAAGTCACAATTCGTGAAGTTTCAATGTTTGTGGATTACGACATAAGTTCAAAATCTCAGGGAATGTCTGGTTTTATGGTATGCACTTCAGTGATCTTTCTTCCCATAATCCATCTTTTTTATATTGTGATAGGGATAGTCTACCGGGGTTATCATATTTATTTTTTTTTACTTTAAATATTTCTTTATTTTCCCACTTTTTAATTATGCATCTTTTTCATTATTTGATAGGACTCACAAATCCTTATGACCTGCAGAATTTATTGAAGTCCTATGTAGAGAAGACAATGTTTCATGGTTTAACTGATCCACCAAGTATTTTGAATAGCCGCATTTGACCGCATTTGTATTTGTTTATGATGCTAAGGTTTACAGTGTTGCCGTCGGTGAGGCGTTAAGTATGTACTCTTTCAGTCATTATATCATTGTTTCCCACCGATGAAGGTTATTATCATGTGGAAAGTATGAGTTTGTTACGCGGCTAAGGTTTACGGTGTTGCCGTCGGTGAAGTGTCATTATATTATCGTTTGCCACCGATGAAGGTTACAATCATTACTTGACAAAGTACGCATTTGCTACGGTTAAAATGTTCAGTGGTGCCGTCGGTGAAGCGTTATAAGCACGTCCTTTCACTGAGTCATTATATGATTGTTTGCCWCCGATGAGGSTTATTATTGTTTGACAAAGTACTCTTTAGGCGGTAGTCATTACGCATGTGCCACCCATGAAGGTTATCATTTGACTAAGTATGTTTTTTTTAATAAAGTGTTGCCGTCGGTGAAGTGTAAAGTGCTGTTTCTTTGCCACCGACGAAGGTTACTATTATATTTGACTCAGTATTTCTCACGTGATATGTTTGTTTTCCCGCCAGTGTTTGGGACGGCGAAGCTGTAGATGTCTGATGCGATTTTGCATTATTTTCAGGCCGATAACCGGATAAGAGCCCTTGAGGAAAAGATTAATGCGTTAGAGCGCTTACGAACATCTGAGAGCACCCGTACAGCCCTGGCGGCTCTACGTAGGCACATCAGCCGACCAGCGGAGATGTTTGACAGACATGAGGCGCTACAGCTGATTCAATACCTAGTCGGGCTAGCGAGAAATGAAAACCATGCGAAGGCCGACGAATACACGGCAGCGGCCGACGAGATGAGGACGAGAGCCGACTGCCTGACTAACTCGCAACTACAGCGTCTGTTCCTAGGTCTCTTGGGGGACCCAGTCAGGTCAAAAATAGCCAAAGAGGCGGGAAATATCCTCAAGAATGTGGGGAAAGCTCCGTTACTTGAAYGAAAGTCAAATACAGAACAAGGAAGACCTCGACCCTATGCCAACGTCCAATGTTTTCGATGGGGACATCTGCAGCGCTCATGTAGACAGAACCCTCGAGGGCGTGCCAGAGGCCGAGGGCGGTACTAGTGGTCAGCGCGATCATTTTTACTTTTACATTATTACTTCATGTAATAATCGATSAAAGCGAAGGATAAAATAGAGAAATCGACAATTTAAGATGAATAAAATAAGATATGAGGTCTTCTGATTTATTTCTTTACAATACTTTTAACCAGCCACTTTTGGTAAGACGTCATATCCCATAAAATCACAATTTTGTCATTTCTTTCCCATGCTTCTTCGTTGACCTGGGGGGGGGACTAGCTAAGGCTCTCATTCTGGACCGAGTTCGGAGCCTGGGTCAACGAAGGGGTGGGGCCCACTGGTTTCCTTCGATTTTTAGRGGTATTTTTCTCCTTTTTYAAAGGAAACTAGTACATTCTACCTAAGGGTACTTAAAGCCTCTCTGCGAACACAATACCAAGAGGAGGATATACCAACCTGTAACATCAGCCTGGGGTCCCAGCCCTTCGTTGGCCCTCTCCCTTCTATAAACATGGTTGTTCGATCTCCTGAACTCAGGATCCTGCGCCAGCTGCGT